AAAGCCACTGGGACATCATGTTTAGAAAATAAACATCTCAGTTTCTCCGAAACACCTGCAACATACGGAATAACCACTGGTTTGGGTCTGGATCAACTGAATCAAAGTTTTAAGAACAGATTTCATAGTTAGTGATTGCGTTGTGTGTTACGAATGACTCCCAGCTACTACCACACCAGGTTTTAGCTCACTGGATAAGTTATCAGCTCACATCCAGTTGAAGACATTCGTCCAATGACAAACAACAACAGCATAAATAGAAAATAGGCACAAGTTTGTGTATGAAACCATTTATTAAAGGCTAATAAGAGATCACATGTAATAACTATTACAGTTCATAAACAGATGACCGCRCTCTTTCATTAACGTGTTGCTGTTTCTGACATCAGAACAGAGTGAATTAAATTGTTATACATCCAACATACAAACAAGCAGAACAGTTATATCGATAAATACAAAGTTAATCCTAAAATTACCACACTTTCCCCCCCCTCTTTTTGGCAAAGTGCTGTATTTTTTCCAGTAAACTACACAAAAACAAATATGTCTAACACTTGGTGGAAGAAAAAAAAAAAAGAATGCCACAAAATATTCTTCACACTTTAAGAAAACATTAAAAGGAGAGAAGAGGTTTTGCTACATCATTCTGTCTGGTTTGTCGAGTCATTAGAAAAGCTGTTCTCAGGCTGGGCRGAGGGTGGCGGCGAAAGTGACGAAGCTTCTTCTGAGCGATGCATAGTTCATTTCTGATGTCTTTTTTTTAACCCATTACATCTGATTGGAACATTTAAAAAAAACGAGAAAAAAAAGTTCAAGTTCTTCATCGATGCATTGTCATTACATTTTCACCTGGAAGGCACGTGATCCACAGATTTCAAGGCATTGAACAAAAACACTAGAAATCCCTGTTAGATTGATGATGAAAGATGAGCCGAGAACAGAAACAAAAACACAATTTAACATGTTCTCCAATCGCTTCTGTCTTTTTCCAAAATGTTGCAGTAACAGAACATAACATCACGAATCAATTACTGAGGTTATTACAGAAAGAGTCAGAACTTTTGAGAATAAAACAAAAAGCTTAAATACGCTAAAAGCCAACTCATCTATTGCATTATTTACAGCAAACCGTACACACGCCTAACAACTGTTAGTGCATTTTTTTATTTCTTTTATCCATGCTACAGTTTCATCAACACAAACTAAAAAGGAGAATCCATGCTGCAAAACGGTATTATTCAAAGTTGGTGAGTTTTTATTTATTTATTTTTGTTTTGTTTTATGAGCCTTAAAATGTGATTTCATGTCACGATTTATCCTCAAAAAGAATCAAGTTGATCTGACCGACTTTATCTTTGACATTCTTCAGTGACACTGGATTGAAACTACATTCAAATAACGTTTTGTTTAACGAAATCCAAACTTGTTAAGTCGGAGCCCTTGTCCAGAAAGCTGGAAGTAAATCTTAAAAGTAAACTGTAAATGTCTTCAAAAGTACAGCCAAAAATAATTTTTTTAGGTTTCAGTAAAATGTGAAAACATACAAGTGTTAAAAATGATTAAATGTAGATTAAATAATTTTTTCTTCTTTTTTAAAAGCAAATCTGTCATCTTTTCATTATTTCGATTTTTCTGCAGTGTGGTACTATCAACGTGCTTTAGAGAAGACAAATTAAAATGCAATTTCTGAGCAAATAGGGCCAAAAGCTCCTAATAACACAAATAATGATTATTATTTTACAAACTAGTAAAAAGTTTAAAAGCACTACTTCTTTTTTTTTGTTTGTTTGTTTAAATATCAGTTAAACAAAAACGTAACTATCTTAGAATGGAAATTATAACAGCTGAAAAGTATTAGCATTACATACATTTCTAAAACAATATTACACGTGAGAAAAAAATATATAAATATATAAACATCTCTGAAAAAAGACCAACAGTTCTTCTGTGTCTTGATAAGATTCCCAACAATTGAGAGACAGTTCAATTTTCACAGTCCTCAGACTGACGTTGATTCATTCTCACAAACATTTTCACGAGGAAAAGCTCACAGGGACAGAGCTGGAAAAGTCTGAGCGTGCACAAAGAAAAACAAAAATCATCAGATGTCAAGTAAATCTGCATTTTTCTAAAGAGTAAAGGTGATTGGTTGTGACCCTGAGAAGTGGACTGCAGATTCGTTTCAAAGCAAATTTAAAAAAAAGAACATTTTCCATTTTCTTTTCCCAACATCATGGCTCTAACAAAACTCTACAAACATGCAACAAACTGCACATTAGACCAAACATACCAAAGCAAGAAACCATAAATGCGTACAACTTCATACTGATATGTTTTCAAGAAGAAACAAAACTATTTTGGAAGTTTTTTTTAATACTTTTTTTTAGCCATTTCTATTTTTCTCAAAGCTACTGTGAAAACAAGGCATTTAGTGATGTTTAACCCAGTAATTCTTACAAACGTTTGAACTGTTTGAAAAAGTGAAACGTACTGAATTAGTATAAAGTCAGAAGCAGGTTCAGGCTGTGCTGCAGAAGGTCCTGAATTTCACTAAACCGTGGTGCTGAAGATCTGAAATGGCAGGAAAATAAGGAGACGTACGTCCTTAAAACATTCTAACATAGTTAGGTTGATTTGTAACAATGATGCTTTCAGGTTCAAACTAATATAAAGGCAACCTGAGGTCAAATATATAGAAAACAAAAATAAAACAGAAAAATCCGTATGTGTCTGCTCAAAAGTGGGAACTACCGTATTTATTCATGTACAATATGATCTCATGTATAATACGACCCCCCCCCCCAACTTTTTGAGCTTAAAAAGCATAAAAAATTTAATACTCAAACTACCTCCAATTTCATACAGACTTCAAGATTTTTCAGCCTTTGCAGTCTTTATACATACAGTATCAGTAAAAGGATCATTGGACTGTTCGTTATATTTTAACAACACATGTACTAAAAAGGTATTTTGACAACAAATATATATCAGCTGTAGCAGCATCATATGAATTCTGGCATTTTACACATAGTCCACCAGGATGCGCCAATGCAAAAGTCAGAGACTTCACATGAGATTTGGGCCATCTTGTGGGGGAAAAGCAGATTACTTCCTACTCGTGAGTACCCCCTCTGGTGGGGAAACTTTTTTCAGGGATAGAAACTTTTTCAGAACACCGGTAGACGGCAGCCATTACAGACGAACGTGTTTGTTGTTCGAGGAGCGGCCMGGTCACACGCTAATGTCATTAGTTTGCTATCATTACTAAGGTGCAGGACTACCCCCTCACACTTTTTTTTCACATCATGTCGCCTGATTGGATCTGTTATTATCTCGCTCTGAAGAATGGAGGAGTGTCAGACGTAAGCTCGTTTCAACTGCTTTTTACGACGCGGTCTCATTTCTGGACTCAGGCATTTTGTGAATGAAGCCGATATTTCAGTTAAAATACATAAGTAAAAATATTTATCTTAGTACTACCCCCCAACTTTATGGATGAATTTATGGATTTAATTTTACGTATTATACTTGAATAAATACAGTAGTTTAAAATGAAAGAGCAGCTACAGCACGAGTGTGAATCTGAAAATATGTTTAAACTCTGTTTTGTTGTTCAGGTTTTTGTTTTTCCAGCATCTAGACATGTGGGTTGGTTTTAGGCAGCGAGGCAGTGTTTTAGTATTGCACTTTAAAATATGTGAAAAGCCATTCTTTTGACATTTTAACTGGATGTACCCTGTTTTTTTTGTGAAATGCTTGAACTCATTGAAGACAAAAAGCAAGATGAACAAACTGCTGATATTTTAGTGTCAGATAGTTGGAGGGAAGTTATTCCGTTGAAGTTGTTCCCACCTACAGCATTACCACCAAGCTAATATTAGCATTTAACTAAAACTTAAAGCTTTCACTGTTTTTTTTTTTCTTTTTGCTGCACATATTCCAAAAAATAATGCCTCAACTGCCTTGTCTATTTGCCCAAACAGTTTCTAGACGACCAACTCTGGAGCCACGTGTCACTGAAACACCATTTGACCTTCCTGCCGCACCACGAACCTGCCTCTGAATAAAGTGACCTACAGCGTTGATTCTAAACTGTTTGTAACGAACAAAATAAGAAAAAGAAAAGGGGAGAGAGGAGAGATCAAACGACGCCTCGTCCTCCTTGTGATCGGACACAAAGTAGTCAGGAAAGTGGGGAGAAAACAAATTGGTGGACAAAAACAAACGGAGTGGGAGAACATGAGATTTTGTTTGCATCCCTTCTTCGTAGCGACTTTTAAAAAGAAAGGATTGAAGAGCAGGATAAAAAAAAGTTCACTGGCCTCGAAATCTGACACAGAAAAAGACGCCGCACTTCCTGTTTCACTGTCCGATGAGTTTCCCGGACAGATCCGGCGGGTGGTTTGCGGCAGATGAGCTGGTTGCTGGTGTTTGTTTCTTGATAAAACGAGCACAAAAGGTGAGTGTTTGTGAAAGGCCAGTGTCAGATTCCCAAGCTGTACTGAGGTTGATGATGATGACGATGATGAAAGAAAAAATCCGGACCTATCAGAAGTTGAGGTGCCTCTGGGTGGGTTGGTGCAGGTGCACGGTGCCGGGCTTCGGGGGTCGCAGCAGGTTGAGGCGGCGCAGGGCCTTACGGGACAGGGACTGGGCGCGTTGGCTGGGGTGACCTGGTCGCTGCTGCAGGAGGCTGGTGTGGGCAGAGAGAGCCGCCGTGTAGCAGGTGGAGTGGAGGCTGGAGCGGTGCTGGACCATTGCCACATCTGGCCTGCAGGGGGCAGCAAAGACAAAACCATCAGGTTAACCGTACAAGTCGATTTACAACAACCGTTCAGCAGATCTAAAAGCTATCTTTACAATTTAAATCTAAAATTCGCAACTTTAACTAAATCAAAGTGACAAAAGCAATAACTGAAGAGAAAATGTTGACATTCATTACACTTCAGGGTCTTACCTGTGTCGAGCTCCTTCCAACGTGAGTCTGGTCTTCTCCTTTCCTCCTGAGGCCGTCGCGTTGGCAGACAAAAAGTCCAGGTCGGGTTCGAGAGAATGTCGCGGGAGGGGGTCGAGGGCCAGTCGCGGGGGGATGTGATGGGCGTAGACGGACATGCTGGGGTGTTCGATCAGCAGGTTCTCCAGGGGGTTGGTTTTCAGGAGGACCGGCTTCTTGCTGTGGCCAGTGAAGCAGGGTGGYGGGGTGATGAACCAGCTCTCTTCCAACGAACAGGCCTTGAGACGCAGGAAGCCACCCTCGTCCTCCTCCTCCTCCTCCTCGTCTTCGTCCTCCTCTGCGCCGCCGTCTGGGTCGGTGTCGGCCGTGGAGTTGAGGGAAGTGCAGGAGGGGTAGCGGATAGCAGGGCTGGCTATGGGAGAGGGGATCATCACCAAACCCTCCTCCTCCTCCTCCTTTTCATCGTCAATGTTGAGGGAGGAACCAGAGAGGCTGTCACCACACTGAGCGGAGCAAGCGTCAGCTGCACAGAAGAAGAAGTCATCTTATTAACACTTTACACATCTGTTCTGTTTTTAAGTGACCACTATCTGTCAGTTATGCATTGTAAACAGTGTTGCCAGGTGTACGATAATTATCGAATTTGTACCATTACTTTGCCCTCTGTACGATGTACGATCAATAATCCCAAAAATCCCATAATGTACGATAATTTGACCGCTCCGATGTGTGACGTAATTGACCCGACACGCTGCTCGCTGACATGAGAGGTRRCDSGTTGTGGAACACAGCGGTGCTGATTTAGCGACTTCCTCGCTATATTTACAGAGTTTTCAGACCCTCTAGAGAYTGTTATTCAGAAAAGTGACTAGTGAAAATCTCACGACCCCTTTTCTGGTGTTACTGAGACTTTGAGAGACTCTGCCTTGAATGCATTTCTTCATTGTGCTGCTGAGAGCTCCTCCTCCCCGGTCCCAGAGCACCGACAGGAGGCTTCTTCACGCTGCGTCTCTCCCAGCTGCAGGTAGATCCATCCCATCCAGACATGAAATAAATACTGCTGCTGCTGACTGATCCATGATGGGATGTTAATAAAAT